GTGGAAATTATTTTTTGATGATAACATGATGCATACAGTTGTTACTCATACAAATGAAGAAATAAGCAGAAATCAGGCAAAGTTTTCAAAATCGCAAAGATACACAGGACAGACAGATAAAACGGAATTAGAAGCACTGTTTGGTTTACTATACATAAGCGGAGTATTGAAGAATAATCATGTAAACTTAGAGGAGCTGTGGTCTAAAAAGTATGGCGCACCAATTTTTAGAGCCACTTTGAGCAAAAACAGGTATTCGTTTCTTATAAAAAATCTTCGATTTGATGATAAAACAACCCGAAACCAAAGGAGAGAATTAGATAAATTTTGTGCTATCCGAAATATTTGGGAAAGATATGTTGAAAATTGTCGAAATAATTACACGCCATCGGAATACGTTACTGTTGATGAACAGCTTCTGAGTTTTCGAGGGCGCTGTCCATTTCGCATCTATATCCCAAATAAGCCAGATAAATACGGCATCAAAATAATGATGTTGTGTGATGCAAAAACGTTTTATATGGTTTCAGCAGTACCATATATTGGCAAAGAAGATCGTCCAAGTAACCTTCCGTTACCCTCACAATATGTTCTAAAATTGTCCGAACCAATTCACAAAACTAATAGGAATATCACGGTAGATAATTGGTTTTCGTCTATGGGCATGGCAAAATCATTGAAGGAAGTAGGACTAACATTAGTAGGCACCTTACGAAAAAATAAACCAGAAATTCCAACTGAATTTCTCAAACCAAAAATATTAGAGCCTAACAGATTTGCTTTCGATGGAAACGTAGTTTTGGTGTCTCATACTCCTAAAAAGAATAAGGTAGTACTACTCATGTCAACAATGCATAACGGTAACGAGGTTGACCAGAATTCAGGGAAATCCGAAATTAATTTATTTTATAATGCTACCAAAGGTGGAGTCGATGTTTTTGACCAGCTATGTCACAGTAAGTCCGTATCAAGAAGAACGAAAAGATGGCCTCTTAGAGTTTTATACGGCATGCTTGATGGGGGTGCTGTGAATGCCTACGTGATCTATCAAGCCAATAGTCCAGACACTAAGAAAACACCACGACGCATGTTCCTGATGCAGCTGGGTGAAGACCTTACCAAAGAACATATGAAAAGAAGGCTTGAAATAACAAATTTACCACGCAATCTAAGGTAACAGAATGAAAAAGCAACTTATCGATATAATATTGTTTGTTTTGTTTCAGGCAGCAGATTTTAGAGGTGTTGGATGTAGCAGAAACGGATATTGTAAACCAGGTACCACTTAGTCTGGAAACCAGAGGAAACAAACGCTGCTCCGTATGTCCAAGAACTCTAGACAGAAAAGGTAGAGATACCTGTATAACATGCAAGCGTAACTTGTGCGCCGAACACAGGCAGGCTATTTGTGCATTTTGTATTTAAAAATGTTGTATTCCTTTTTCTTCTCTAATTAAAGTTAATTAAAATATTTCTGGCATTGTTTTCAATGAAAAGATATCATCAATAACAGTATTTCTGCTTGGGGTCATACGCGACCCCATGTTTTCATTCGTGTATGAATATTCTCGTGTTGTTATTTAAGGGTTAAATATAAACTATAACCCAGAAGAATGGAGATTGTTTATAGACAGTTCAACATTGAGTTTAAAGGCAGTGTTATTGCATATTGGAAATATTTTACCATCTCTTCCTGTAGGGTATGCAGTTCACATGAAAGAATGATATGACAATATGAAGTACCTATTGACATGCATAAAATACGATGAGCACCAATGGCATATTTGTGGCGATTTGAAAGTTGTTGCACTTTTACTTGGGCTGCAGCTAGGCTACACAAAGTTTTGCTGTTTTTTGTGTGAATGGGACAGTCGGGCAAAGGCACTTCATTACACCAGACAAAACTGGCCTGTTCGTCAATTCCTAGAGCCAGGTCAAAAAAATGTACAGCCTATGCCATTAGTAGATTCGAAAAAAAGTTTATTACCACCACTGCATATCAAGTTGGGCCTAATGAAAAACTTTGTCAAGGTATTAGATAGAGATGGGTCAGCTTTACAATACCCGCGTCAGAAATTTCCAAGACTAAGTGAGGCAACGGCTAAAGAAGGTATTTTTGTTGGGCCACAGATTCGAAATATTTTGAAAGATACACAGTTTGAAATCACTTTAACAGGTATTGAAAAAACTGCTTGGAATGATTTCCGTCTGGTGGTCACTAATTTCTTGGGAAATAGGAAAGCTGACAACTATAAAACCCTTGTCAAAAATATGCTGTCATCGTATCAAAAGATGGGCTGTAATATGTCTCTTAAGATACATTTCCTACACTCACACCTGGACTTTTTTCCTGACAATTGCGGAGCCGTAAGTGATGAGCACGGCGAACGTTTTCATCAGGATATTTCAACAATGGAAAAAAGGTACCAGGGAAAGTGGAATCCTTCCATGCTTGCAGACTACTGTTGGACTCTTGGTAGAGATGCTCCAGAAACGATCCTTAAAAGAACAGCAAAAAGACAGCGCATATAGTGATTCTTATAAGTATATGAATCTTGTTACTTTTTTTAATATATCCTTAAAAATAAAAAGTTTTTTTTCTAAACCGCAAGTAATTTTTTTATTTCATTGTCATTTTTGGATTCAGCGCCCCAAAATTAACAAAGAAGTACACTTTTCCCACAAGATACAATTAAAAAACAAAAATTTGTTGTCCAGTGTTATTAGTGAGAAAGTTACTGATAATTAAATTTTTTAATTCTGGGAAATCAAACTCAGAAATTGCAACAAATATTGTTCGAAGATATAACGTAACTGATTCAGTTAATATTAAGCCACGATATGTGAAAAAAAGTAATATCACAAATGCGGACCGAAGAGCATTAAGAAGAATAATCGTGAAAAACAGGCGTGCCAATTATTTACAGTTAAGTTCTCTGTGGAGTAATGCTGTTGGGAGCAGATTTAGCACTTGCAAGGTAAGTTTTGTTATAAAAAAAAGTGAAGTAAAAACCCTAAAGTTGCACAACTTGTTTATAGGCAAAAAAAGCCACTATTAACTCTACTGCAAAAGAAAAATCGACTTAGATGGGCTAAAGAACATAGACAATGGACACGTCAACAATGGTGTGCAATACAATGGAGTGATGAGGCCCGATTCAAAGTTTGTGTTGGTGGCAGTCGCAGTAGAGTTATTCGCAAAAAAAATGAAGCATTCCATGTTGACTGTCTTAAGAGAAACGTGAAATATCCAGCATCCATTATAGTCTGGGGCAGTATGACATCAAAAGGAGTAGGAGAATTTCATTTTATTGATGGAAATGTGTATACAAACAAATATTTGGCAATTTTAGAAGAATCGCTTTTACCAATGATGGAAGAAAGTTTGATATCCGGCAAAAATTTTGTGTTTCTGCAAGATGGTGCAGCGTGCCATACCTCAAAAAGGCTATAAAATGGATGGAAGAAAATAGTGTACCACTTTTCAAATGGGTTTCTAACAGTCCAGATCTGTCGCGTATTGAAACTTTGTGGCACGAGATGAAAAACGTTCTACGACAACATCCTGCTCGTACAATCACCGAACTGAGACAAAAGCTTATGTATGTATATGTATTTTTTACGACTAGAGTGTATCTAAAATGTCTTTGAGAAAATAAATTGTTTTAGGAGTAAATAATTTAGTTTATAAACGCATATTTTGGTACAAATCTTGAAGTGGAGCAACTGAAGTGGGAAGGGGCTCGTACCTTACATTCGAAACATATTGATTTAATATTTTTTAAGTCACATAAGAATTCGACTGATATACAAACAGCGTTGGCCCATTTTAACCTTCCGGATGCATTCTCTTTCATGTGCCGCCACTTAAAATACCAAATACTACCACGCATTTGTTTAGAAGGCGTCTGTGAAGATTTATTTCAACATTTCGCATGGCCCTGATACTAATAGGTACATACAAGAACAATGTCTGGGTGTATCTAGCTTGTAGCTCTTATTGCCCGTCGTATATCATCGTTTCGTTGGTCGCAACAACAAACTTCTACCATTTGTATTAATTTCGCAACATACTAAATTATGAATTCCTTTCTCTCACACCTACAACTAAAAAGGTGAGGAAAGGTTAACAGCATGGGGCGGAACATAACATTTCTGTAAACGATATGACATACGAAATATATAATCTCGTAGAGATTTCTATCTCACTTTGTTTATTCTATTACCGAATCTGTATTTCAGAAAATGCTTAAGTACTTTGCCATTGAGTCGGTGTAATTTTTTGGCCTAAACCCGGGACGGTGACTAAAGAGGCCATCTATTAAATAGAAGCAGATTCTAGACAATTAGAGGCTTCTGCGGAAATGGAAGGTAAAATTGTAAAATAAGATGTAGATCAGAGTTCCCCAAACGATAAAATACAAAAAAGTGAAAAATAATAAAAAAATAAGTTTTTTACTTAAAATAGTACAATAAGCGAGTTCGTTTATTAATTATTACATAAACGTATGTTCTACAATAATTTCACTGTTAGTTCGATTAAATTCCGCTTCTTATACGTTTAAGTTATCTAAAAATAGGCAAAAAATTAACGAATTTTAGTGTGCACCTATCCTTGAATTTTCAGAATAATTTAAAAAAAAATATTTTCTATAAAGAGGGGTTCTTTAAAAAAATCAATGCGGGCACTTATTTCCAATGCGGGCATTTATTGGTCAGACACCAATAAACATAAAATAAACTATAAATAAAGTAACATAAGCAATAAGTCAATATTTTTAGTGAGAAGGATGAACCTGATGCTTTAATAATAAATTATCAACATTTGGCGTCAATTTTGTAAGGGTTAATCTTAAATCTCCTCGGATAATGATGTCCAGTCTGTTTCTTTTTTTCATTAGGAGATTGGTAACAGCGCTGAACCCCCTTTCCACTAGGTATGACGATGGAAAGGAAATTAAAAATTTCCTCGCTATATTCCATAACACGGGATAAGTAACGGGTATGTTGTTTTGCAGCCAGAATTGCTGATATCCGTTTTTAAACTGAACCTTAAGTTCTTCGTTTGTACTTAGTTCAGTCAGTTCCTCTTGTATTATGACATTCGTTTCTTCTATGTCACCATATGGATTAATTATCCACGGTGATATTACCATAGTCAAAATATCCTCAAACCTAGATTCAAAATCTGAATAGAGGGCATTTAAATGTTGAACGTAAGTTGAAACGTCCTGGCAGCTTGTCTGTGACAAATTGGGGAACTGAGAAAATTCGCCACGTCCAATATTTTGCTTCATTAGTTTATCTCTGGCAAGAAACGCTGATAAGATGGACTTTTTAATCAAATTTAACCTTTAACTACTCGCGCTGGTGTATATAGTACACCAAAATGGCGCCGAGGGCTGCCGAGTCCATGCGAATAGCTGTTCGTCCGCGCCGAGCCAGGTATGCCTCGCTCGATGTATTATATCTTCCAGATGTAGCGCCAGTACGGTTCGGATCGCTAGAGGACAAGGTTAGATATTTCAAGAAGTTTGAGGTGGTGTACAAAATACACCAAGGCGAGCAGTTATGTAAGTAGATAGTGGAATGTATTTTTTTTAGTTTTTCCATGAAAACTTATTTGTAACGTAGTCTGTATATTTGTATATAATTAAACATCGATTATATGTTTTGAATTAATTGATTTATTCATTCAAGGAATCGAGTTAAGGTGAAAAATCCTCAAAAATTGACCCAAGATGAATTAGCGGCTATAGCCCAAGTTATATGTGATACGGATACCGAGGAAGAAGTTGGAGGAGAAGGAGATTCTGATGGAAGTGAACAAGTAGAGGAAGAAGCACACAATTCGGATTCAGAACAAGAAATAAGCGAACTAGAAGAAGTGGATGAAGTGGATGTTGATCAAAGTAGTTCTGATTCTGAAGATATCCTGCTCTCGGTGTTAGCGGCCAATAAACAAGATAAGTATATTGGCAAAGACAAAAAGACTATTTGGTATAAAAATTATCCCATGAGTAAATCCAGCAAGTCCAAAATAAAAAACATTATAAAAATACTACCAGGGCCAAAGCAATGCGCACGTGACATAACCGATGAGACAAGTGCGTTTTCGAAAATTTTTGATGATGAAATGATTGAACATATTATTCACTGTACTAATTTAGAAATTTCAAGAGTTAGGGAAAACTATGATCGAGAACGAGACGCAAAGGACGTTACAAAAACGGAAATGCTGGCTTTTATAGGCTTACTGTTTTTATCTGGATCTAAAAAGCAAAACCACACCCATTTTTTGGAATTATGGACAAAAGACGGTACCGGATCAGAAATATTTCGAGCTTGCATGAGTTATCAAAGGTTTCTTTTTCTGCTGGCAAATATTCGATTTGATGACAAAACAACAAGGCATGAACGAAGAAATTAGATAAATTGGCCGCAGTGCGGTACGTTTTAGATAAATTTGTAAGTAATTGCAAAAAAAACTACTCTATGGGCGAATTTATGACAATAGACGAAATGTTGATTGCGTTCCGAGGACGATGCAGCTTTGTCCAGTACATACCAAACAAACCTGCGAAATATGGTTTGAAGGCATTTGTGCTCTGTGATGCTAGAACATTTTATGTGAGTAATTTGGAGCTGTACTGTGGAAAACAACCAGATGGCCAATATAGCCAATCTAATACACCAACTGCCATCGTTCACCGTTTGCTAGCAGAACAAAAAGGAAGCAATAGAAATCTAACCTCCGATAATTGGTATTCAAGTTACCCTTTGGCAGTGGAACTTCTTCAAGACAAAATAACTTTCATCGGAACCCTGAAGAAGAATAAGCGAGAGCTGCCGATAGAGTTCTTGCCAAATAAAAATAGGTTGGTTGGGTCATCACTTTTTGGATTCCAAAAGGATGTAACGATAGTTTCACATGTCCAAAAAAAAAATAAATGCGTGGTTTTGATTTCAACTATGCACGACGACTCCACTATTGATCCATATACCAACAAACCTGAAATAATTCTAGATTATAATATGACCAAAGGGGGTGTGGACACAGTGGACAAAATGTGCAATACTTATTCTGTTGGAAGAAGAACAAAAAGGTGGCCATTGGCTTTCTTCTTTCAGTTGCTAAATATAGCAGGCATCAATAGCCAAATTTTGTATAACGGCACTCACCCTGAATCTCCTCACAAGTCCAGAAGAATTTTCCTGAAAACTCTTGCTCTGTCATTGATGAAACCTTTTCTTTCTGAAAGAGCTGCAATACCTACGTTACCTATAGATATCAGACATTTCCTATCCAGATATAGACAAACTCAAATGGATGAAGAAGAGGAGCCACCCAGAAAAATTAGAGGAAGATGCTCCATCTGCGCCCGAAAAAAAAAATAGAGTTACCACAATTACATGCAGCATTTGTCACCAGTTAGTGTGTAAAGAGCATAGTGTCAACGTTATCACCTGCCACAAATGTAAGGAAGGCGGATCCCATAGTGAATAGAGAATTATTAATTATGGTTGTTTTTTTCAATTTATTTTTACTGTCTTATTTGATTTTGTTTACTATTTTTGCTAATAAATATGTATTTGAGTTCAACAGTTGCTCTTATTACCACAGCTATAACTTATAGGGCAAACAAAACATATATTTGGATCATAACTTGCAACGGTGTACAAAATACACCGCGCGAGTAGTAACGTGAAATAAAAATGCGCGAGTAGTTAAAGGTTAAACTGTCGCATTGTAATTGCAAATTAACCATATTAAGTTTTCTAAACAAATCTGTTAAATAGGCGATGTCTGTTTTCCTCTTCACTATATTTTCTTTTAAAAGTTTATCTCTAGTATCCAGAAATTACAAAATAGTCTCAAAAAGTGCAAAAAATATTGTCAAACATAAGCCTTTCGACAGCCAGCGTACTTCAGTGTGAAGGAGTAATTGATGAAAGTCTTCGTCATTTTCTTCACACAACTGCGCAAATAACCGCGTATTCAACGCGTTGCTTCGGATTCGGTTTACTGCATCAATGACTAAATGAAGTGATTCATGCAATCCAACAGTCAAATTTTTAGCAACTAAATGTTGTCGATGGATGACGCAATGTATTGCTAACAGCCGTGACACATTTTGTTTTAAATAGCTTATAAATCCACGATAACGTCCAACCATGGCAGGTGCTCCATCTGTAGCTACTGATATTATATTTGATGAAAATAATCCTTCAAAACATGAAATATTGATTCACCTTTTGTGTCGGTTATCAAAGTTCTTGCGAAGAGCAGTTCTTCGTACATTTCTTGATACATAATAAAACGAACATATGCCAATAATAATGCTGCATTATCAGGTAAAGTTGACTCGTCCAGTTGTATAGAGAAATGGGTCGTTTGCAAATAATTACATAAGAAGCTTTCAATATCAGAACTCATTTCATCAATACGTCTTTCAACAGTATTGTTGCTTAAGGCAATTCTTTTAATGATAGCAGATGCAGGTTTGTGTAAAACAGTTTTTAAAACCTCTTCAACGGCTGGCAAAATTAACTTATCTCCGATAGTATGCGGTTTTCCGGATTTTGCTATAAGTAACGAGATATTGAAAGACGCCCGCAAACCATCATCATTTCTTTGTGACGTCGAAGCGAACATTCTGTCCAGTGTAGGTCTCTTCTGAAATTTATCTTTGAGTGTTTCAAAGTATTTGAAATCTTTCTCTGTTTTATCAGGGTGGCATCTTCTCAGATGATCTTGCAGTTTAGATGGTCTCATAGCGTCATTGCCCAAAACTTTGTTGCATAAAAGGCACATAGGCGATTGTTTGTCCGGAAATGATGGAATGAAGCCAAATTTCAAATAATCAACACCGTACTGTCTACATTTCTTTTTAGATTCGGACATGGCATCAGTCATCTGTGAGCAAAATTAAATTATTTAAATAAGACAGAAAATCCAGCAGCTGTATATTAAAAATATTTTTTGATTTTTCCGAAAACATTCCATAATTCGAACATCTTCCAACAATTATCTCGAATTACGGAGATTGCACTGTAATTATATTACCGATTGCTAAAACTTTCAAAAAGAAACTATTGAGGAGTACTCGTGTAATTTTGCATGATTGAATATTTAACTACTAATAACTAAAGTCATGATTGGCGTAATTTATCTATCTTTGCTAACTACGAGTACCAAACTAAAATTTAATAAAAAATAATGTACTTAATTTTCTCCAGCACTCTCAAACAAAATAACACTGACCCACTATAATTTGTGTGATATACTATCTGTTTATATTTTTTAAAATATTTTCTTAGCACTTTCCTTTTCAAGATTCAGGAAACGAATAAACGTATTTGTCCCACATTCGTATTTATAGAGTGACGAATTGAACCAGTCAGTGCAAGGTAGCGAAGCTCTGAGACTGCGACTCTCAGGTTTTTACAAGTTCAAAATGTATTGCGACCACAAAGCGAATACCAACATCCTACAACTTACACAATTTTATAAACATATATAATAAATTTTTTACTTCATAGGTACTTTTATAAATAATGTATATGTTTTGATATTATAAGATAGTATGATGTAAGTAAATAGGTACTATCAGTGTATGTGTTGAGATCCACTATCGTGGACCCCCATATTCATTTCATGGACCCCCAAATTTTTTTTCGCTGACGTAGACCCCTTGCAGGTTGTCATAGTCCCCTAGGGGTCGATATAGACCACTTTGGGAATCAATGATGTAGATGGTGCTATGTAGGTTGATAATAATAATATTTATTTCAGTGGACTACAAGAGTATCTTAGATTTCCGTCGGTCTTCACTTTTTCATTACAGTCCATATAGGATTGCTCCTCCATCTTAAGGAACTTGGATATCAATACCCATCAAAGCTCAACAAGGCAACGCCACTGGTCACTTGCTTCAACTTCGCAGCAGTTTGTTGGAATTCTGCAAAAGGCCCATTTAATAGTCACGTATGTGAAAAATGCATCCACATTTACAAAAGATTGTTATTTAGTACATAGTGGTGGACTTTGAATTTTTACGTTACTTAAAACTTGATTTTTAACAACTATTTATAGAGCATAGATGCACAGGTACATCACGCCATCCGACGACGATACTCGCGGTCATGATTAAGGTTATAAACAGACATACATAGATATCAATCAAGGTGTGATAAAGTATCGTGAAAAATCTCGTACCTTTCTTGAAATTTCTTCTTTCCATCTATTTCACACAGTCTGACCTCCAACTGCACTAGCGCCGCCTAGCGGGAGCAAAATTGCACTTCGCTTCATCCAAGATAATTTAAGGGCATCGAGGCGTTTCAAGGAGATCCAGGAACATTTTCTGCCTCAATGGGAGGAGATTCGTAGCCATCCAAAGGAACCTTCTATCCCTGTTCTCAGGCAAACTAAGGAGATCCAAAAGGATTGACACAGTTTCTGTAACCATTATAGTCCTGGATTGCTAATTCTGCTGATGTTTCGGTAGATTTTACGGTTTTGTCCGGTGAGTCTACAAAGCGATCCCAGGAAATCTTAAAACATCCAATGATCTCCAAAGGTCAAAGTATTGTTAGTTAGAGAGACTGTCTTCAAAATAATAATAATAATAATAATAATAATTAACGTCTTTTATTTGTAATATTCTTACAGGAGGCGAGATTTAGCTTACATATCTATTCTACCATCTAACCCCCTTAACAATACGAGATGTGAAAAAAAAAGAATTTGTTGAAAATTAATAGGCACCTGTATACAATAACGACAGAATAAAGTATAATCCAAGTAAATACATAAGGAAAATATGAGGACACTTATGGGTTACAACCGATTTCGCTGCTGATCAAGAAGAACTTCTTTCACTTTTTTCTAGAATTTGGATAATGGATTGGTTTCTTTTAAACTGCGGTCTAAAGAATTATATGATTTGATCGCATTGTAAATGTATGTATTCTGAAATAGTGACGTGCTGTGGCGTAGTATTGGAAAAGTCTCTCTATATCTAATATTAATACGATGCATATTCCCTCTACGTATGAATTTGTTTACTAAATATGACGGTGTTTTTGAATAAAGAACCTTATGAGTTAGATTTAGGAGCTGGTACTTATACATTTTATCAATTTTCATCCATTTGAGTTCATTAATGGCATTCGATATATGATCATATTTTCTGAGATCATTTACAAGTCTGCAACATGTATTCATAGCACGATATCTTTGAAAACACGAAAAATTCACACAATTGCTTTCTCGCAGATTTATGTAATATAGCCTTATTTGCAAATAAAACTCTGACAATACCGTAGCACTGAGTAATTAGATAGTTCACGTGTGCAACAAATTTTAAGTCATCATCCATTATAATACCTAGGTTTTTCGAATGTCCTCAGTTTTCCAAAACAAGACAACCTGATGTTTGCTTGTCACTCTAGAGGGCTGTACGTCTTTTGGGAACGAGAACGCCTGTCCCAGTCAGTACTGAGCTTTGCTGGTTTTACGTTATGAGGTCTTAAAACTGCAATCTCCTCACTTTTGATACATTACAGGACCGCTGCGACTATTATTGAACACACTGTTCAGAAGCGGAAAAAACAAATGAATCTATTACTATTACTATTATAATTGAGATGAGCAGAGTACACAGTACTATAAGCTCATGCAGTAAATATAGTGTACGGACACGTAACACAAATATATCAAATAGAAAAAAATAAAAAAAAGACAGTTCATAGCTATAAAGTTTGTACACTCCTCCAGCTATCATACTGCACTTTGAAGCTATTAACTGAAGTAGCACCAATCACACTTTCAGGTAAACTATTCCAGGTGTTGAATATGCGGTTGGGAAGAAACCACTGTCGGACTGTTGTTTTAAATGGCTCCTTATGCAGTTTGAAGCTGTGTCCGCGTAGATTTCTGCGCGACAGACGGTATAGATGCATGAGGTTGGTGCCCATCAAACCATGAAGTATCCTGAACGTAACTATAAGATCGCCACGAAGTCTTCGCTCAAAGAATGAGGTCAGGTTGAATAATTCAAGACGATCTTCATAGCTTGGTCTTCGTGCTCCAAAAGGGATACGAGTAGCCCGACGCTGTACTGATTCGAAGAGATTTCTATCGGGCAGAAGCGCAGTGTCCCATACCGGGCCAGCGAATTCAAGAATTGGTCTCACGAATGCCTTGTAAATGCAGGCGCAAGTGTTGACATCGGATCCTTTGAAATACCTCTCCAGCATGTATAGAAGTTTCTTGGCTTTTGATGTAACGTGGTGAATATGCTCTGACCAGGAAAGACGATCGTTGACTACAACGCCCAGATCAGTGTGGCTGGAAACTGCTTCGATGTTGTGGTCAGAGATCTTGTATGTAAATCGCGGATTTGTCTTCCCGAGGTGAAGGACACAACACTTAGTTAGATTTAAGGGTAAAAGCCAACTGACTGACCATTGACAAACAATATCAAGATCTCGTTGAAGCATAGCAGAATTTACGACAGTATTGTAAATCTTGGTGTCGTCGGCATAAGCTGAACATGTGGAGGAAATCAATGCGGGCAGGTCACTTGTATACAGAAGGAACAGCACTGGCCCCAAGACAGAGCCTTGAGGAACTCCACTTGCTACATGATGAAGGTGAGACTGGCTATCACTGACGCGTACAGAGAAAGTCCTCCCGGTGAGAAAAGCATTAATCCACAGCAACAACTGGCCTCTTATTCCCATACATTCCAACTTAAACAGAAGCCTTCTATGTGGTACGCGATCGAAAGCCCTAGAAAAATCTAAGTAGATTATATCAACAGGAGTCTTAGTGTCCAGATACTGAGTCCAATCGTTGAGAGAGTGGAGAAGGTTGGTCATTATTGATCGACCAGGGAGAAATCCATGCTGATTCTTAGGGATAAGGTCATTTTCGAAAGCAAATGACAGGAGCTTATCTAATATGATTCTTTCAGCTATTTTGGCAGCGATAGGAACGAGACTTATTGGTCGATAATATTTAGCGGAGGATTTGTCGCCCTTTTTGAATACAGGGGTAACAGAAGCACTAAGCCAGCATGAGGGTAGGGTATGAGATCTAAAAGACGATGTGAATATCAAGCTTAATGGTAGAGCCAGTGCTGAAGCGCAGTTTTTAAGTACAGCAGCCGTCATCTCATCTTTACCAGGGGAGGAAGAGGTCTTCAGATTTCGCAGGTGCATTAATACATCTTCAGGCAGGAACTAAACTTCGCAAAGGCTATTGGGACACCTATGGCAGATAGTGGTCGGTAGAAGGTCTCCATTAGGCTCATCGACGAAGTCATCACTAAAGGACTCTGCCAGTAAGTTGGCAGATTCGGTGGCATCCATGTGGAGATGACCGTCTTGAATACAGATACACGTAAAATATACTGCCCGTCATTTGATCTGTACACCGAGAAACATGGAACCATAGATTATGGATTGCTTTTGAATCGAAACGTGATCTTCGATGTCCGTTTAATTTAGAACGCAGCAACCATGAAGATAAACGGTATATAAATAAATGAAATCGGAATTGCGAGTATCACCTCTGCAAAGTTTATCTTGGCTGAAGCCGAAAAAAAAACAAGAGATGACACTGGCGTTGTATTTACTCAGGTGAGTAACAATTACAAAACACATTATTGAAACTCATTAAGCTGAAGCTTTGTCTCTAATCTATGGTCAGATTACTAAGCATGATGCAAAGAACTAAAGTTATCATTGCGTGATTCACAACGGGAG